TCTTTAAAAAAAAGCAACCAAAGAAAGCATTTTTTGAGACAATTATGCAGGTTTAAATGTCTTAGAAAAAAATTTCAAAACATAAAAATTAAAATTATTGGACATGTTTCATTAGTGCTATTTTCTTTTTTGAATATGACTTTATGGAAGTGTTAATACAATTCTTTACTGTCAAATACCCTTCCTAGCATTACACTAAAGCTATACCTCAACACACAATATATATGCATATATAACTGGTCAGTGGTCATTGGTCAATTTATTTACAGCAAATATTGCTTTTTTAGGGAAAAAATGCCTACATACAACAATGTTTCTGTCAAATTTCTCTATGGCAGGCGCTGGTATGGAGGGTACCACACCCCAAATTATTTTCCTAGAATAGTCCCTGATTTGTATATATATAAAGGTATATATATTTGCATATATACCTAATGCTGACCTCTAACAGTTTAAGGTCAGCAATTTAATGTCCATCTCATTTTTCCTAATTCTGAGAGCTGTGTTTATGGACTATTCCATATAAAATCACATAGTTTTTCAAAAGTGCCCCAGAGTACCACCTCAAACTTGCTTCAAATTTTGACCATTCACAGTTTTTAAAAAACACAATCCTGAACATTTCAGCTTGACTGACCAAACCATTCAAAAGTTATAATTGAATTAATATTGACAAAAATTGGAAAATGGTTTAACAGGTGAACAGTTAAAATAAATTATGAAACTTTTTACTGGCAAGGTTCTATATATAGACAATCTATCAATATATAATCTAATATATCAATCTAATATATAGACTCTTATGACATGATTGGTATCTAATATATAGACAATCTAATATATAGACATCTTATGACATGATTGGTAGCCCTATAACTTAGGTGTATATTTTTAAATTTCCCCTGAATAAATACAATCAGTTTTCCCTAAAATAACATTATCAGTGTCTTAATTTAATTTATTTGATATGATTTTATAATATATATTTATTTCATTTTATACATATAATTATAATGATATAGTCTACACATGGTTATGATTTGAATATATATATATATATATATATATATATATATATATATATATATATATATATATATATATATATATATATATATTATATATATATATTATATATATATATATTATATATATATATTATATATATGTATATATATATATATATATATATATATATATATATATATATATATATATATATATATATATATATATATATATATATATATATATATCTTTTTTGTATTTTTGTTTTGTTACTTTTAAAATCTATATTTAGATGATTAAGTTGAACTATTGAAAATTAAGTTAATATTAATTATAATTATTATTGTCATTATTATTTTATTTAAAAAAAAAATAAGATAAAATAACATGAAAAAAATATAGTATAAAAGTTGTAAAAAGAAATATTTTTAGTAACAAAAAGTAATAAAAAATACTTAGTGATAAAAGTCAAAGAAAGAAACCTGAAAAAAGATAATATTATCTGAAAGTTAAAAAAAATGCTCATGTTACATTTTAAAGTTTAATATTTTAAAGATGTTATTTCAAAAAATACATTGTTTATAGAGGGAAAAAAATAAATAAAAATGTTTTCTTTTGAAATGATTTCTATTTAACTATAAAAAGCACAAGAATAACATGGATTTTGCAGAACACATAATTTCAAATATGGAAGATTTAAACTTTGTAGGCATTTTTCTTAAATGTTTAAAATATGCACTTTTTTTTTAAATAAATATTTTATTGGTATTCATACTTTTCAAATTTGTCAAGTTTTTGATAAAGTCATATGCACATCTCTTATCTCTTAGTTCTTTTGATAAAGTCATATGCACATCTCTTATCTCTTAGTTCTTTTGATAAAGTCATATGCACATCTCTTATCTCATTAACATATACATTATGATTGCTATTATGATTTTACTTTATATTGCCATTTTCATGGATATCCAACACCACTTGTAATATTTTTTTCACAAAATCTTTTTGTAATAATCATACTGTTATTTAATTTATTAACAAATATATTTGAATATTGAAAGTCTAAAACAGTTTCATTTATATATTGATTAAGTCTGAAACAGTTTTATTTAGCCATAACTGTTTTTACTATTCTGTTTAATAATTTATAAATATATTAATAATTAATTAACCTCAATATATTTCAATGAATTGAGAAACATAAAAGTTTGTGAAACCTTTCTTATTTAACAAAATCAGTTTTTGTGAAAATTAATAATTATTTGCAGAAAATATATTTTTTTGTAAAAAAAGTTATGAAAATGATGTTTTTTTAATGTCTCTGAGAATATTTTTTATGTTCTATAGTTCTTACTTATGATTTTGAAGAAAGATTTCCAGTTGTTCTTCAAATATTATTCCATATCATGGGAGAAAGGTGAACCAAATGTATATAATATATAGTAAATAGAAATAAAAAATAACATACAGTAAATAAAAATAATATGTATTTTATTTAAATCAAGTATAGTTTATTTAATTGGTGTTATGAGATTAAAATGTAATGAATTAATTAAATACTAAAGAATATTCTTTTAAGGAAATTACTTTAATAAAAACAAGATTATGCTTCTTAACTTTACCATCTGATAATGAAAATGTTATATATGGAACATATATATTTCTTACTATTATAATTTTTTTTGAATACCATTGTTAATCTGATAGTATAATTAGATAACTACTTGAAGAAATATTGTTTCTATTGTCTGATTGTTTTAAGACGTGAGCATGGGAACATTAAGTTTATCATCAGATATTTGTTTTTAATTGAATTTTTTTGAATTTAATACCAGTTTATGTTTTTAGTTAGTGTAAGTTGTTAGTATTTTAGAAATTTATTTTAGTTTGACATTTTAAAGACAAACTGATCAAAAATAAATGCATAGAAATATATTTAAGTACATTAAAAATTTAAATCAAAATATATTCTTGGTTTTTTATATAAATTGTTTAATTTTATTTGTTATTGTAAATTAATACAAAAACACTTTTTTTATTTACTTTAATGATTAATTCTATTGATTTTAATTTTAGTTCTACAAGTATTATATATCAACTAAATTTTATTTTTGCACTCTCTTTATACATAAGATGTTTGATTGATAGCAGGTCATTAATTTTGCACTCCTTTTATACATAAGATGTTTGATTGATAGCAAGTCATTAATTTTACTTTATCTAAAAAACATCAATAAATTAAAAAAAAAAAAAAAAAAATTTTTTTTTGCCAATTTTTATATAAAAATTATAAATTTAATAAGTTGTTTTAGATTTCTGGTTAATATTTTTGTTTTTAACTCAGATTAACCAAAAATTCCATAAAAACTTGAATTTAATTATATTAATTTTATTTGTTATACAAGAGTGCAAATTTAATTCTGTTCAAGTTCTGAACACAACACATTTGCACTCTATACAAGAGTGCAAATTTAATTCTGATATTTTTATTCAAGTTAATTTTGCTGTTTTTTTAAAAAAAGAATGTTTATAACAGGTTAATTGAAATATTTTAAATAAGTAATGACAGGTCACAGAATTTTAATTATGCTTAGCATATGTGTTATTTTGTGTTCTTACACTAAAAAAAAATATTACCATAATAATTTAATGCAAATATTGATTTTAAGTTTGAAATAATTTAAAAAGTACCATTTGTCAAAAAGTTATTTTATACTTAAAAATGGTACTTGTTATAAATATTTGTATTAATACATTATGTTCACTAGTGGTTTAAAATTTCATATTAAGTGTCTTGCATGTTCCAATGCTCTTTGTAGTTACAAAATATTTCAAAAATCAATATAAAGTACAATACAACATAAAGTCTTAACTTTTATTTTAGTATTATACAGTTTGACAATGATATTGATTGGATTAAAATCTTGATTTAAAAGTGTAAACTTTTTTATACCATGCGTATGATTGTTTTAGTTCATATATTAAATAACACAGTTAAATTTATTTCTAGTTCAGACTAGATATCAACATGTCTTCCTATGAGATCAAAATGTCTCAACATAAGATCAACATATCTCCCTATATGATGAAAAGATTAGCATATGACTCTTAGAAGCAGATAATAAGGTATTATTTGCATCTTTCATTATTGAGAGGAGGACAGATTGCAGATTACTAATAAGTCATCAAATTTTGAGATGCTATCAGTTATATTTGACAGACGCCCTGCCTATTAACCAGTATTGTGTTGCAGTAGATCTTTCTTTCAGATAAAATACATTTTAATAGATGAAACCTGAAAATATCATCATCCATTCTGCAATGCAGTTTTTGCATTCATAGAATTGTTTAGTGTCAATAGTAATCAACACAACTTGACTTGATCATTTATTTGTTTACACAGTACAGTGCCCATTTGACACCATATAAACCTAAATTTTAGTATCTTGTCCTCTATTAGAGCCTATTATAGTCAGCAGGGTACATACATATTTTTCTCATTTTTTTTTTTTTTTTGAAATGCATAGTTTAATCAAGCTAATTTTCTTATAATGTAATCATTAGCAAAAAAAAAAAAATTTCTTTTCTTGTTCTCATATCAGATATCCTTCAAATGTAGATGCTGCCAAAATCCTCACTTGATTCATGTACCCAAACCTATGGGTAGTTCAATATGACATCATCGTCATGTTGAGCACAGCTAAGTATCCTTGTATACCTTGTAATCCTTGTATAATACATATATGCATTCAATAATATGTGTGTATATATGTTATATATATATATATATATATATATATATATATATATATATATATATATATATATATATATATATATATATATATATATGTATATATATATATATATATATATGTATATATATATATATATATATGTATATATATATATATGTATATATATATATATATATATGTATATATATATATATATACATGTTTAGATTGTTATATATTTGATATATTTTTTAGTGCTATCAAGAAATGAGTGAGAGACAAGCCTTTATAAAATCAAACAAAACTGCTTCAGATGATCTTCAACTTCATTTTATTAAGGCAAGTTTTTGATAAAGAAAAACATGAAAGTATAATACTTATTTAATGTTTTAATCCTTTTATAGCTAGTTATAAAGTAATATTCAAAACTTTTAATAAATAAGATTATTTTAACAAATTAGTTTAATTAATTAGCCAATTGTAATTTGACTTTATTTTAATTTTGCAATTATTTTGTAACTAAAAAGTGTTATAAACATATAATTTTGTATATGGTAGCTTTAAAACAGAATACTACTATTGTAGTATATTTAATTTTGTATATGGTAGGTTTAAAACAGAATACTACTAGTGTAGTATGTTTCCTTTATGTAAGGTTGTGTTTTTAACAAATCTTTGCTTTAAATTCAAATCATTTAAATTCAAAATTTTTAAATTTAGTAATAGTTGCACTTGACTATAAAATTTCAAGTCAATCATTAAACCTCTAACTTTGTTTTATATATGTGTCCAGGTGTTTCAAAAATGTCAAGAAACTTACATAACTTTATAAAAATTTTATAAAAGTTACTTCTAAAAGGACATATTTATCATATTATATACATAGTATTTTATTAAAGTTATTATACATTAATTTATGTCAAGTTGTTTGACATAAATTATAATTAAATAATGAGGCATCCATTTCATAAAAAATCAAATTGGTCTCCCCCTATGACAAAAAACAAAACTATTATAAGTTATCTTAACTTAGTAGAATGTGATATAACCGCACTTGTTTTCTCACAACTACCGAAAGATAAAAAAAAAATTTAACTCCTAAACTTATTCACGCACTAAACTCCCTTATGTTTAATCCCACAATTACCATAAAAAAGGCCGACAAAGGAGGGGGTATTTGTATTTTAGATAAAACTGACTATGAAGAGAAGATCTCTCTACTTTTATCAGATAAAAATACATATAAACTACTCTCAGAAGACCCAACAAAAAGTATAGCGAGAGATGTTAACAATCTTATTGACTATATGTTTCTTTATCATATGATTGATAAAAAAACATCAGAGTTTCTACGACCAAAAGCACCCCTTTGTACACCCCTGTTTTATGGCCTTCCCAAGATTCATAAGATAGGCATTAATTTGACCCATTAATTCATTAATTTATGTCAAGTTGTTTGAATCAGAATTTAAAATTTTGCTCTAGTTTAACACTCTAATACATTATTTGCTATTTAAAACAGAATAACTTCTAAATAACCTCTAAAACTCTATATAACTTGTATGTAAAATTTCACTATTTTCAAATTAAATTTTATAGGATAAAGATATTGAGTACATCAAATCTAGTGGACAGGAAAAAGCATTCGATGCTGTTGTATTTGATGTGTTAAAAGTTCAACCTGAAGATATTGCAGTAAACTTATTTTTTCATTTTTCTAAAAGTTTTTTTTTTAATTTGAATTTTTTTCAATAATTTTGCAGCTGCCATTTATTATTTTTCTAGTACACCAAAATTTGTTAGCATAACATTAATAGCACACCCCAACTTTGTTAGCATAACACAAATGTCTAAATCAAAGCATTATAATAAAATATTATAGAAATATTATAAGCAGAATGGAATATTGCAAATATATTGAATATTGCAATTATTTAGTAGATTGTTGCAAGAAATTTGCTACTTTTATTATTGTGATGAAAAATGTAGTTTATGCATGATAAGAATTATATTTCAAACAAAATGTATTTTATGACATGACTGAGTTCTTGTATAATAAATTGTTTATTGTTATATAACACATTTGTCATAATCAATGATTAGAATAATTTGACTGAGAAAATTAACATTTTCAAATTTTTAATATTAAAATGAAAATTTTAACAAAACTGTAGGTGAAGTGCTGTGACAATAAAACCATTTTTTGTGAAATTAGACCAAGGTTATGCGCAGAATACAACGAAGTCAATAAGAAAATATACTTGTAGATATATATGAAAGCCGAAAGCAAAAATACATAAAAATAAAAACTTTTATTTCTTTAATTTTATGTATTTTTTTTTGTAGGCCAAGGCCAAAACAATTAAGGCCAAGCCCAAAATTTTCAAGGCTAAGACCAAATTTTCAAGGCTAAGACCAAAGGTTTTTGGCCTTAAGACAAGGCGAACCCAAAACCAGACTAACAACTCTGGATAAGGCTAAAATTAAATGTAAAATACAACTGAGTGTAAAAGTAAATATAAAACACAACTGAATGTCAAAGTAAATGTAAAATACAACTGAATGTAAAAGTAAATGTAAAATACAACTGAGTGTAAAAGTAAATGTAAAACACAACTGAATGTCAAAGTAAATGTAAAATACAACTGAATGTAAAAGTGAATGTAAAACACAACTGAATGTAAAAGTCAATGTAAAATACAACTGAAGGAAATAGAAAAGTCTTACTCATAATTATTTAACTTAAACGTTAAAAAAATTTTTTATCAACTTTTTACTATTTTTTAAAAAATTTTCTTTTTAGAATCAACTTACTTTAATTGATCTGCCTCTTTTTCAAAAAATTGGACCTGAGGTAAGAGAAAAAGTTTTTATATCCTTTCTATTTGAAAAAAATGTTAAAATCAATTTTTATTTTTTTAGCTGTTTTTTCAAAAGCCTTTCTGTGAACTACTTTTTTATTGAAACCATATATGTTTATATATATATATATATATATATATATATATATATATATATATATATATATATATATATATATATATATATATATATATATATATATATATATATATATATATATATATATATATAAATATATATACACACACGGTGCAGGAAATAATGTTCAATCAATGATTGACTTCTTTTTTAAAAAAAATACGTTTTGATCTCCCAATATGAATTCTGGCCAATCAAATTTGATTGGCAAGAATTTCAAAGCAAACTTATTAAAAAATTCATTAAAAAAGTTAAAATTAAGTTAGCAACTAAATGTTTTTGATTATTGGAATAAAAATAGGTTTCATAACAATCTATAAAAAAAACATTAAACTATTATAGAATAAGCAAAAATACAGAATGATAAAAAATGTTGAATATTTTAGATTAGCGGAATAAAATAGTTTAAAATCATAAATTTTTTTTTCTGGCTTTAAAGTCAAAAAAAATAAATTAATTAATTAGTTATTTAAATGGTAATGAACTTTTATGAATGATTTTAATTTTTTTGAATGAAATTAATTTGAAATATAAACTAGAAATATTAACACTTCAAATATTTAATATTATAAGAATTTAAGCAAAATAACTAAATAAATAAAATAATAAAATTTACTTTAAACTGTTTAATTATTAAAAGATTATGATTGCCATTGCCATGTCAAGTTGTCATTGTTGCCATGTCAAGTTGTCATTGTTGCCATGTCAAGTTGTCATTGTTGCCATGTCAAGTTGTCATTGTTGCCATGTCAAGTTGTCATTTGGTATTAAATGCCAATTTTGTTTTTAAGTATTAAAATTGATTAAATAGAAAGTATAAAATAAAGTCATAAAATAGAGGTAGGCCAAATACAACAAACAATTTTTTCATTGAATAATAAATTAATATCTGAATCAACTGAAAAAAGTAAAACTTTAGTTTTTTCTAAACATTATCTTTTCATGTTGTTTTAAATCTCTCAAAACAAGTGGTAGATTATGCTTTCATCTATTAGCTTTTTTTAATTGCTATTTTCTTTCATTAAAAAAAGACCTGCTATTAAAAAAAAGTACAGTTTTTAATAAGAAATCAATATCTAAACCACCAGTTAGGAAAGAAAAAACTACTTATCAATATTTTTTGTCAGCCGATCAGTGTTGATCGGCAACCTTTAATTATTTCCATAATATTTGTTTAATAATTATTTCCAGCACTGCATATATACATGCAAAGGGAGGGGACTGTTTTTTTTTTTTTACATACCTAGTTACACTTTGACCCCCCTCTTATTCAGGGAAAGTTTTGTAGGAAATTTTTCTAATTGTATAGATTTAAATGATATTTTTTTGGGTTTTATGCTCTGTATATAAAACAAATTATTTAATCAGAGAGTATAAAGTCTACAATGCGAAATCTAAGCATCTCTTGTTGCTAGCTGCAAATGCATCAATTACATCATTTATTTCTAATTGCATTGTATTTTAAATATGTAGTAATGCCCGGCCAGTTAAATGCTCATCTTTGGTTTTGCTACACAATATTTCTAAATTTTTATGGTGCCTCTGTTCAGTTGTACACGTTGTGATAGGAGTAGTAGAGAAAATCCAGAGGATGTGTCTTGATGGTAGCCAATGTTAAAAGCAAATTTAATAATGGAATGAAACTTGTATAGCTTTTTTATCTTGTTTATACAATTATACCTTTCAGGAATTTGATCTAAAGCTGCTAATTTTGAAGGATTTGTTGCAGATGTGAGAAAATAATATTCATTATATATAGTTTCCTTATCTTGATGTACAGTAATAAACAGTCTTAAAGTTTCAACCACATCAGTCCAATTATGTTGAGAAATCACAGGTAACAAAGCAGACGTTTTCACAGCAATTTGCTGGTGGTTTGAAAACTGTGTAACTATAGATTGAATTCACTGAATCTAATTCATTTTCAGCAGGGAAGTTGTTTTTATACAATTGCCTAGATAAGGCATAACAAGTGACTAAGGGCATTTCTCAAATTCAATCAATTGAGTTGTTGTAAGGATTAGTTAAATACATGTCAATTACAGTTTTATAAGTACAAAAAATATCGTTCCCCCATACTTTAATTGATTACAACACCACAAAAAAAGTGACTTTCTCAAAGTTCATTGCATTTAAGGTGCCAATGAGGTCATTATTGGCTGTTTGTAATAACTTAGACAATGTTGTGTTTTACTTGTCTTATCATTAAGCAAAGTTGCATTCTTTTACTGCTACTGTTTCTTCATGCTCATCTAGTATTTATATCTAATATTTATTTTACCTTCATTCATCTAGTATTTTCCCTCGCACATCAATGCATTGGAACTCTCTCCCATCTTCATGTTTTCTTGTTCATGTTACAAACTACAGCTTTTCCAGTCTTCTGTCAACCTGTTTTGCTCTTTAACGCTATTTTTTCTTTTTAGTAACTTAACTTAATTTTGGTTGCTTATAGCCTTGTTGGAAGTGAATTTGTTAAAAAAAAATTAAAAAACAATAATTTTATTATATGCCTCGATTGTTTTCAAATTATTTCTTTAATTATAGGAGTTAACAAGCTGTAAATGGACATCGAAAACAAAGTATGACTACTGTCCAAATGTTGTCAATTATACTAAAAGATTTAACCACGTGAGTTCCTACTTGTTGTTCATGTGCACATATATTTGAAAAATATTTAATCATGTTTAATAATATGTTTTAAATATATATATATATATATATATATATATATATATATATATATATATATATATATATATATATATATATATATATATATATATATATATATATATATATATATATATATATATTAAAGACTATTAAATTTATAAAGTATTAAAAATTGCAATATTAAATTTTACTTAAACAGAAATTTAAGTTCAAAGAAGCTGAGTCTAAATCTATTATAAGTCCTATATGATTTTGGAAATTAAAAAAAAGATGAAAAATTGATAATAAAAACACGTTTTAACTCATTTGTTTCAATTTAATCTAACCTGAAGTTTTAATTATACTTGTGTTAAAAATATATCAATAGTTTAAATTTTATGCGTATGTTTAAATAATTTAATTTTGTTTAATTATATTTAAGGTTAGCTTCTGGATTACTAGAGAAGTGTTAGGGTCAAATACTGCAAAGAATAGAGCTGAAAAAATTGTGTATTTTATTAAAGTTGCCAAGGTAACACTTTTATTATAATGTAATTTTTCAAACTGATTCTTGAACAATAATGGTCTTTCTTTTATCGTCAAAACAAAAACGTTTTCCTCAATTTTTACTATATTAACTCTGTTAAATTAGTGGAATGTTTAAATGTGGTTACTAAAAAAATATTTCTTAACAGTGTTTATGTTATGACTGTGTTTATAATAACTCTAGTGGAAAAAAGAAAAGTGGCAACAATTTGATAATAACATTTATCAAGTATTATACTAAATGTTTCTTTTATTTAAAATGTTGTTTAATGCAAGTATCAGTTTAAGGGGATACAATTTAAGGTGGTAAAGTTGTGTATATATACTTTCTCTTTCTTTGTGCATCTACATACTTTTAAATAGTCTTATGCTAATAATAAAAATACTAGCTGGTATGACCCATGCGATACATGCGATACAATTTCTAAACTTGTTCCTTAGTCTTTATACTTTAATTTATTTTAGTAAACGGCAAAAAATAAATTAATTTAAAGTTCTGGTTGTTGGTAAAATGCGAACTTTTATTGCAAACCTTAAAATCTATTGCTTGTTAAATTAGAATTAATTTAAAAGAAAACAGTCTAATTTAAATAAAATATATTGAATACCATTATATTTAATTTAAAAATTGATGAGCAAATGTTTTAAATATCATGACTGTTGTGGTCATTAAAATGTTCCCTAAAAAGTACGCAGTTTACATTTTACTGACTACCTAAAGTTCTTGCTTTCTGGTTAGTTTTTAATTTACTTTATTTTAGAACTAATTAGTATTTTTACTTATTACAATATTACTTATTTACTTTAATATTTTCTACATAATAAAAGTATCTTTAGCATATAAGAAAGTTGCATTTCTTCAGGTGTTTTTGGAAACTTAGGCTATGATAATAATATTTTAACCCTCTCATAAGTATATATTGAATATACATTAATTTGTTATGTAATCTATTTATTTATTTGAAAACTCAAAAATGTGGCTGATCAGATAACAAATAAAAAACTTACTTTGTGAGGTTGTTTATCTTTTGTGAAAGTTTCAAGATTTAATGTTGCAAGTTTGGATTAACTAAAAACAAATGATCACAATAAGATATACCTTATTGTGTTTTTATTTGAAAACTGAATCTTTAGCATTTAGTGAATGATTATATGTAGTCAGTTTCAGTAATGAAACTACCCAATAATCATTTTAAATTAAAGACCTCGACGTGAAAGTAAAAGTCATTTAATCTCGACTAATTACATTGATTGATTGAATTAAAAGAAATATTTGTACGACGTCAAGATGCTTATTACATATTTCAGGAAAAATGCAATTAAAAAATTATCAGAGAAACCTCTTTGTAAAACATTTCTTAAAACTAAAAACCTTTATGATTTTATTCATAATTCTTTGAAAATATTTATTCAGTAACGTTTGTAGGCATTTGATTTTTTTTACCTTAAGGCTTTTTTAAAAATGGCTGCAGTATTGTAAAATAGTATTGCACAATAAAAGCAATCAATTAATGTACTAATTCAAGTATGAATACAACAACACTTGTTGAGCCAGAAGAAGCAGCTAGAGCTATATATAAAAAAAATACAAGAATACTACACTCTTGCTGTAAACTCACAATCCAAGTCATAACACTTTAAAGCCATGGAAACAAAATAACCACTTACACATAACACACATTAAAGCACTTTATATATTACAGGTATTTAAATATTTATGACACAGAATTTATGATTGCATTAAAGTATCTAATATAAAATTAAGATCTTAAAACTAATACAATAGATATTACATATTATAATAGAGATAATAAAGATTTGACAATACCTTATCATGTGGTCAAAAATATAAAGTGATATAGTCAAGCGTAACAAATTTTCTTTAAAAACTTAGAGTCAAACACTCACAAATGAGTAAGCAGCAATAAATTAAACATTATTTATATAAGACTAATTAGTTTGTATGTAGGACTAAAAGTTTGTCTAACAGCAAACCTAAAACTTTAATACTGGGACAAAGTAACACGATGCTCCAGTTAATTGTGCCATCGTTATTTTTCTCCTCTACTTCTGCCATGTTTTTAAATGCAAAAGCAAATATGTTTTCTTGATTTTTTAAAATTTGTAAGAGTTGCATTAACTCATTTATACAACCACCATTGCCAGTTGCTCCATTCTGAGTGTCACTGCTACATTAGGATCATATATATTTAACTGACAATAAGTGGGTAGAAAACCTTCTTTAGCCCATAAATTTCCAACACGATGCAAAATTTGCCCATAAACCCTAAAACAGAAAAGGCCATTATTTGTGGGGTGAGGTATTTTGGCTGTGAACTATCCTGATATCTTTGTATTATTTTTACAGTAGTTCATTTTAGCTTACCTAGGCTCATCTCTTTCATTTTTTGACAATTTACCTCAGCTAGCCTAAGCTCATCTCTTTCATTTTGGCAACGGTTAAATTCATTTTGCCTAGCCTGGTTTCTTTAATTTTAATGAAGCCTTATAATTTTACTTCTTTAATTATCAGACTTAATTAAGCATCAAAGGAGTGTGTAAAAATGATGCTTAATATAATATAATTTGCACTTTTATTTCAAGATATATAGCTATATATATAGATATATACTATATATCTTTTCAACAATTCTTATAAACACATTCTTTCAACAATATTTTTTCAACAGTTTTTATGACTACACAAACTACATACAGATTTAAGTTGTTTTTCATCATGACAGTACACCACTTAACTGGCATGGACAACAATTTTGCTCCCAACAAAGCCAAGTCACATTATAGCAAAGTACACCACATGGCTAGCAAGGTCAACACTCTTGCTGTAAACTAAGCCAAGTCACATCAATTTGAAACCATGCAAATAACATAATAACCACTTACAAAGTATAAAAAATAACATTATATCCCAAACATAGTAACACTCATATATAAAAGATATTTACACACTTACAAAATGTAAACCCATATAACCTTAACACATATAAACGCATAATAAATAACACACAAATAAATATATAAACTAAGAAAAATAAATAATTTAGAAACTTTACAAATACAACATTATTTTTGTAATATTTGTTTAATGGCATACATACTTGTAATAAATGTTTAACAACTTGCAAAAACAAACGATCAAACAATCTGGTTTTTTATATAAAAGCAAACTGATTTTTTTTTTAACTTCTTTAAAATAAGGTATTAAACGATCTTGTTATTTAACATGTAACAGAGTTGACTGTATGAGATGCAAGGGTTTTGGAGATAAACACTAACTTTATCAAGAGTTTGACCTTTAAAACAAGCAATATCTTCTAGAGTCTTTATAGTGTTCTAATTTAAAAATTATAGATTAATATACTTTAAATACAATTAACAAAGGACTTGAATTGTGTTATTATTATAACGTATGCGCTAAATAGATTTCCTGACTTTAAAAGTTATTTCACTAATTTGAAAATAACAAAAAGTTTATCCTTTACTACAGAAGTTATCAAATAAAAATTATCGATCTCATCACTAAATAAGCTGATGAAGCGAAGTTTTCGATCTTATTACTGATTAATCAGATATTGACAAATTTTTAATTTTGCGAGTACCTCATCGCGCGAGTTCAAAAGTGTTAAGAAAAGAAGCGTACTAAATCCTATTTTTAATAAATGGTAAAAAAGTCTGTGTAAATGGGCAATAATTATAATGGATTACGCTAAGAAGATATTTTAAATTCAAAAAAGGTGTCCACTTCTAAATAGTTAACACATCAAAGACAAATTGACCACAGACAAATAAAAATTAAGTTTACAAATATCCAATAGTTTTTGAAGCATGTCTTTGGTGAGTTTTTTTTTTAATTTTTACTCTTCTCTAAAAACAATAGCAAACATTTTCTTGTGTTTCAGGAATTCTTATTTATTTGCAGCATGATAAACATAAAGCAAATAAAATAATTATATAATGCCTGGTGTAAAAACTCAGAAAAAATGGTTAACTAAAAGTGATTGAAGAAGAAAAGTTATTAATGATTTAGGTTTTTCTTATTATTTAAATTGCATTCGACAGAAGTACCTTTTTAAAAAATTATTGTGTGATTATTATGGTTATACCAGACTAAATAACAAGTCGTTTTAGTTTATAACTTTTAATATAATATTTTTATTATATTTTAGAAGTTGCTTGATTTGAACAGTCTAAACTGTCTCAAAGCAGTTGTATCTGGTTTAAATTCTACGCCTATTTATAGGCTTAGTAAAACATGGAATGTATGTACTTTTTTTAGTGTTTATTGTTTATGTAATATTAAATTATAATTAATATTTAGCATTTTTATTTGTTTAAGTTTATCATTTATTAAAATTTTGGTATAAATCTTTGTCCTACTAAAAATCTCTGTCTCCTAATATACATAAATACATATATATATATACATACATACATACATACATACATACATACATACATACATACATACATACATACATACATACATACATGCACGGACATGCTGGCTCAAAAAATCACATGTGAGGTTTTTTTAAAAAGGTCCATATTAGCGGGATTTTGCCAAATATGCTTGATTTAAAGGCCCACATTTGTATATATATTTATATATATTTTTTTTGGTTTGAATTTGTTTGAATTGGCATTTTATTTAGTGAGTTTCATAAGTAAACAAAATAATGCCGGCTATATTTTAGTAATATGCCTTAATAACTGTACCATTATACAGTTGCATTATTAAAAATTATAGATATATATAATTATTTTAATAACTATTGATTTAAAGATTGATAGATTATAAATATTTGTAAATCTTCGCTCATGAAAAAAAATGTGTGCTATATGGAACTCCCTGAAACGTAGAGAAGTTTTTATAAGCGTTACAAAAACAATGGTACAACAATTTTTTTATTTTTTTTTTACGTGACCCAAGAAGTTCTTACGGTCTTATCAACTTGAAGTTCAAATTAAATGTATACAATTTTTAAGATTTTCCATTCTATGTTGAACCTTAAAAAAAGAAGAAGCTATATTTACAACAAACACGGATTTTACAACTATGTGTTTTGAAAAAAGAAGCGATTACTAAAGTTTTTAATGTTAAATATTAGTTTCAACGTATTTGCGGTCCCTGAAATGAATGAATCCGGAATACTTTCAAATAGAATTAAAATGCTTTATTCATTTATTCTTATATATAGAAAAAATATTTAAATTAAAAATATTTAAATATAAATAAATATTTAACTACTTTTTAAATATCTGTAGAACAATAAGAGCAATTTTATAAAAACTCACAAAAATTATTTATATTTTAAAATTTTACAATTTTTGTTTATGAAAAAACAATTAATCGTTGTAATTTAACAAAAATTTTAACAATATGAATATTTTTCCATAATTTAAAATTGAACTCAATTATTTCTCATAATAATCATTGACTAACTTAAATAATTTTATCTATATAATGACTGATATAATAAGCGATTTAAGTGACGTATCGATCAATTATTTTTTCCAATATCGACTTTGTTTTGATGCAAAAGTTACAAACGGTTGCATTTTATTATGCAAAATACTAATATATAAGTGCTTGAAGTCCAACAGTTTGAATCAGAGAGTTGTTAAAGAATTTAACTTGTGCAATAAAAAATAAAGCAAACAAATATTTGTGAATCATTTTCAGGGTATAAAAGTTCAAAAAAAGGCCCTTCTAGGATAAATAGTGATAGGCTTAAGCGGGATTCCCGCATAACCTCTAGGGTTAGCACGCCACTGCATACATACATACATACATGCATACATACATACATACATACATACATACATACATACATACATACATACATACATACATATATACATAAATGTTCTTATTAAAAAGCTTTATTTTTATGCTGGCAGTAAAACAGTTGTATTTGTCAGTAATTAAAAATAGTCTTTGTTTTTAAATTTTTCAATAAAAATTGAAAATGAAATAAACTTTCATCAGCAACATTATCAAATAATTTCTTGTTAAAATATAAAATAAATTAAATAAAATAAGAATTATCAATAAAAATAGGTATCATTATTTGTTATATTTGGTATATTTATTATAAATATATATATATATATATATATATATATATATATATATATATATATATATATATATATATATATATATATATATATATATATATATATATATATATATATATATATATATATATATATATATATATATATATATATATATGAAAAATATAAAAGTGCTAGGATTAAATAATCTAATCAAAGAGTAAAGGTGACCTTCTCCTTAGGGATTGCGATATAGATTGTGTTATCTCAAAAACATTGTTCTCTTTATTTCATTTTGGCAAATTAGAATTTACTGACGTATTACACTTTTTTCTTACATATGTATGTATTTATATGTAATTTTTTAAAAATATATTGTTGGTATACAAGGGAAACCAACTAAGTTCAAAAACATAATTTTGAGTTAATGAGCAATCAAGTTTTTGTGTAATAGTTAAAATAATAAATTTTTGTGTAATAGTTTAAATAAAAAATCTTAATAGCTCATTAATAATTGATTTATTAAATTTGAGCGGTATATCAAACAATAGAGAATTTCAAATACTAAATAGTGGTATAAATAACTCCATACTGCCAAAAATGGACTTAGTTGATTTCCCCTGTATACGAATTATATATAGGTGTTAAATGAATTTCTTTTTTTATGTAGCTAATTCCTAAACGAGATAAAGAAAAACTTGATAGGTTAAGTGATCTTTTGTCTGAAGATAACAATAGGTTGGTTTTATTTTTTTCTTCGTTTTTTTATTTTTACACAATTTCTATTAAAATTATTTGAATAGCACTGACTTGTCTTAGTCATGTAAAATCATTGTTGAAAATAACTTTTCATTACTCAAAACCTTGTTAGTCATGTATTCAAATAACATTGACTGGTTTATGTTATTCAAATAACATTATTACTTGTCTTCAATATTGAAACATTCAAATAAGTATGAACATCATTAACAGGTATCAAATATTTAAATTCTCTTTTTCTGGAAAGTTTATCTAATTGATATTAAAAAATGACAATCAATATTTAAAACCACATTGTGCAGTTTTTATGATAAAAAATAGGCAAATTGTTTGTAACAAACCACTGCTTGACAGCAGGTTGATCCAGATCAACTGTTCATGAGCATATCTTATCCTGAGTATCAGGAAAACATCTTAAGATACAAAAAGAAAGTAGTCAAATTTTTCTAATTAATTTCCAAAGAAGGAGTTATAAAATTCGAAAATAAGGAATATTAAAAAGCTTATTTTAAGCTATAAACAAACAGAACTGCCTTACAGTGATTTGGGAATTTTCTGAAATCTAGGTGGTCATTGCAAAGTTAAGAAATATCAAAATTTATTGTTTATGATAAAACCTACTTTACATTAAGCGATTTGCTTCTAAGTATTAACGATATGTATTATTCAAATGATTACTCTGACACCTAATTATGTCAAGCCTTATGACAAAGCTAAATAGTAATGAGTTAAAGGTTTGGCTATTTCACTAAAAGATGAGTAAAATTCACATTATACTAAGTGTATCAACCAAAGTTTACCTACACAATTGTATAATCAAGTGTTTGGTCTCATTCATTTCAGAATATTGCTGCAACAGAAACAACTACTGGTTACAAAATGCAAAAATCAAGCAAACGTGCTAGAAATTTCTTTTGTTGAGGATTTTTGGGCATTATTTAAATTAGAACAGTACAATCTAAGACTTAGTAACTCAAAAAATTAAAAATTGCAAATAATTATCAATAAACAATTTTTCAAAAAATAACAAGTCTAACTATGAATAAATGTTTTTAGTCAATACAAAATGTTATCAATTTAACTGTGCTTGAAAATTTTTTATTTTTTTATTTTTAATTTATTAAATACTCTTTTGGAGCTTATGAAATTAATTTAAAAAATTAACTTTTGGAATTTGATTAACTTTGGAAATAATTTGGTTTATTAAACTGCAGTTGTTTTGGGTTGACATTTACTTTTACATTTTTATTTTGAAAAATTAAGGTGATTAAGGATTGGTAATTTTGACAATATTTAGATGATATATAATTTTGATTTTATTTAGATGATATAAAATTTTGGTAATTTTGAACTGAGTTAATAAACAAAAAGAAAATCTCAATATTAGTTAAGGCCAAAACTGAAATTTTAGAATTAAAACTAAATTTTAGTTATTTGTATAGTGGTTGCACGTCATAGTAAAGCAAAGATAGGTCATTGCCAACCTAGAACCAAGTCAGAGTATTGTGTAACAATATTGTAACATAGCATTTTGGATATGGAGCATTGTGTAACTTAACAGTGTATTTTCAGCTACGAAATTTTTTTTTTTTTTTTCATATTTTTAGAGAAAAATTCAGAACATATTTATCTACAGTAAAGCTGCCTTGTATACCGTACTTAGGTATGTATGTCCTTTTATTATATATATTAGTACGTATCTTTTTGGTTTGTACTTACAGTGATATGAAAAATATTAGAATCAATAATTTAACAAGTATAAAATGGTTGTGCATTAAATTTTAAATTCTTTTTAAGGTTTAAATTAAACATTTTCTGGAAGCACATTTAAATAAACTCTTTTAACACGTTTTGAGGTGTTTTTTTTTTTTTTTGGTTGTTTTTTTTTCATTATTTTTCATTTTTTTGAACTTTTTAATCAAAATTTTTAGTTTAGCGAATTAGTGATTTAGTATTTAGTAGATATAGTAAGTTGTGTAACAACTGTGGTAAAGGTTTTTATTACAACAATTTGTACAGCAATAAGAACTTTAGATTCTATTAATTTTTACATCAGTGTTAATTAAATATTTGCATTTTATTTTTTTAATTATATTTTAATCACTATCAGTTTTAAATTATATATATATATATATATATATATATATATATATATATATATATATATATATATATATATATATATATATATATATATATATATATATATATATATATATATATATATATATATATATATATATATATATATATATATATATATATATATATATATATATATATATATATAATAAATTTTTCAGGAATGTATTTAACAGATCTAACATATATAAATACAATACATCCAAGCACTGGAGGGCTTGATTATCAAAGATCAAATAAAGTATGATTTTACACTTTATACTTTTTTTGCATCTCAAAAATATTTTAGGGATGATTATTTTAATATTCTTTATCAGATCTTTAATATTCTTTATCAGTTTTTTTTTTTTTTTGTATTTTCATCTGTTGAATTTTTACTTTAGATGAATGAAATTCTTCGGATAATAGCTGATTTTCAACAATCGCAATATGGCAAGTATTTTTTTCATATATAAAGATGAATGAAATATAAATAAAGTGAAACCAAAAAAATTAAAATTAAATTAGTTTAATTAAAATAAATATTTTTCTAAAAAAAAAATTTTATAATTATCTAAGTATACCATTGCATTTAGGGAGAATACATTAGAAAAACTATGGGAAATAACTTTATAATAACTTCTAAGTTTTACTAATTTTCATGCACACAGGTTGATTAGTAATCAATCTGTGTTCCTTGCATGGAAATTAGTAAAACTTAAAAGTTATTTTTTTGTTTTTTTCAATGACTTTTTAGACATTAAAATATTTTAAAATAATGTGCAATACATTATTTAATAGTATTTTTTTTGAAGGATGAAAAAGTTTAGGACTGTAAATAAAGCTTTCAAACTAATTTAAATAAAATTTTTGCAATGCATTATTTGCTATTATTTTATTAAAGGATGCAAAAAATTAAGAACTGTAAGCTCTTAAGAAATTTTTCATGTATGCAAAGTGTCACTTTGCGTGCACGAAAAGTTTCTTAAGAGCTTACAGTCTTGAACAATCACTTACAGTCACTTGAACAATCCAAAAATGAATTAATAAAAAAAGTAGCTATAATAACAAACAAAAACTAAATTTAGAGTTGAAAATAATTTAATTAAAATCTTAATTAAAACTTGCTTATGAAGGGAGAATTATAAAACCTCACCACTTCTGCATATAATATTTTTTATGCATTTTGAAGATATGAACAGAGCTAGCTTATAGCTAACACGTGTTATAAAAGTGTGCCAAAAATACTGAAGTTGGGAAATGTTATTATAAAAAAAGTAGCCTTCTCAACTCTATCAGCTCCCTCTGAAGCATTTAGAAGCTGAGTTTAATTAAATATTAGAAACATGAGATGTAAGAATAATATATATATATTAATACAACAAACTGTTTTTATCAACTTAAATCTCTATTAAACTGTTATAATACATTTGTTGTCTCTATTGAAAATTTTGAAAACTTAATTACATAATTGGAAAAAATATAAAATAAAATAAAAAACACTATTCTGAAATATGATTTATTGCTAAATTATGTGAAAATATTATTTTCAGGTGTGTGGTAGTTTTTAAAGTAACCAGGATGTAGAGCGACATTGCAATTTTCGCACCTAAAATTACTTCTGTCATGACAGTAATGACAAACTCCTTTTACTTCAGTTTTTTTATAATAAAGTGAGACCTGGTAAGGTCATTCCTAAAAAATAATTGCATCTTAACTTCAGAATTAAAAGATTAAAAAGAAAAATAATTTTTTTTTGAAAATTACTTTTCTTTTTGAATAATTATTATAAAAATCCAAAACCTGATTGCCTGTCTGCTGTTGGTAGATAGCCTTGTGTAGATCAACACTGATGGTTATAACACCATCAGTGTTGATCTACACAAAATCAGTTATATTTTTTTAAATAACTTTTATTTAATAATAAAATTAATATGTAAAATGTTTTTGTTATATTCTTATCATTTGAATGTCAGGCAACTCATCATCTTTGTCATTTATGAGAATCTCTGCTTGCTGGTTAAGAATACCAGCTCCAAGATGATTTATGTCCTTACTATTTTCTCCATCTTCTTCATCGTCACTGTCTTTGTCAGTGAGGGTTTCATTGACAGATGGAATCATTACAATCTTAATCTAAAAAAATATTTAAAAAGTGTTTTTAATTAAACTTTTTCTCTAGAAAAAATATTTTGTAAAGATTCAGTTAATTATTAAAAATACAAATTCGAATCATTCAATTATCAAGATTGATTCCTGATAATGATGATATGTCCTTAAAAGAACATGTAATGTTTATGCAGTTATATTGCTATAAATCAACTTATAAATGCTATAAATCAACTTATAAATGCTATAAATCAACTTATATTGCTATAAATCAACTTATAAATGCTATAAATCAACTTATTAATTACTAATGTAGTTTAAGTAATAAAAATAACAATAGGTTACCTTTTAGAATAAGTTTTGTTAATGAGCTTCTCACTACTCCACATGTTTTTTTTGCATTAACTTTTAGCTGTTGCCTCTAATAAATGAGCAAAGCAAATCGGTTGTTGTTAACCAATAAGCAAGAGGTATGTATCTAGTACCACTTTGCAAAATTTATATACTTATCCTTTTAAAAATATAAGGAATATCCTAGTTTAATTAGGGCATTTTTTTTGTCCTTTAAAGGACATCCGGCACTAATGAGTTAATTTTTTGTCTTTTTATAATTTTTGCAGAATCTTAGTTCAGTTTAGTCCTCTTTGCAGCGTTGTTTACAACTTTTGCAATTTTCGCTAACTTAAGAGCAGCTTGATAATCACTGCTTTCTTCTCACTTGTTCACAGAATAGCTTTACCAGTAAGTTTCAAGATTCAGTGAGGTAGCTTAGAATTTGTCTAATCACAAGGTTTGTACTGTACCTGGAAAACCTTGAAAATTAGTTAATTTTGGCTAAAGTCATGGAAAACTGGAAAAATCAGGGAATTTTTTTTTTAATCAGATAGTCAGAGAAAAGTCAGGGAATTCTAATTGAGAAGTTACTAGTGTCACATTTAAGTGATTATATTTTTGTTGGTGCTACCCATTAATTTATTTAGACAATTAAAAAAATACCCTACAGTGTTTTACAGGTAGGCGTGTGATAGTACGCCATAATATGAGCATGCAATTTGACCACAGCTTTTAAATTATTTAAAAATCATACGCTGAAAACCTAAGCAAAAACTAAAAAGAAAAATAACAGCAAACTAAACTAAGAAAAAAAATAAACATAAGAAACGAAAACTCTTAATTACGTTTTAACTTGTAATTAAATTAAATTTGGAGTAAACAAATTATTTATTTATTTTTAATGATCAATTTAGATAATTTAAAACTATTTCTACAATTAAAAAAAGTATATTTCAGTTGCAAGCAATTTCTCCTGTTTTTTTTTTTTTGTCTGCTGCTAAAAATGATAATTCACTTAATGCAATGGAAAAGTCTAATTTAACGATAACTGATAGTTTCTCCAAAGGACACATTATGAAGCCATAATCTTTAGAACTCATTGTATTAATTTATTGGTATATCATTGATATAAATAAATATCATTGATATATATAAGTTCTGATAAAATTTGTGCAGAAGTTATGCGGGCATTTTATAATTCTCCTGCCAGAAGAAGTGACTTTATTAGTATCACTGAAGATTATGTGTTTCCACTTTCATTTTGCACAACCAGTTGTGTTAAAGACAAAAAGGTAGCAGCACTAATCTTTAAATATAATTTTTGTTGGAGGTTAGACACCCCTCTATTCAGGAAGACCCTGAATACCCTAAAAAATGTGGGTAATATGTTGTGTCTATCCTTGACTAAAAGTTATAAATATCTAAAGTTGAGTAACTTAATTGAACAGTTTATAGAATTTTATGAATTTAAGTCAATTGAAGAATGTCACAGTGTACATTCATGTAGAAGTAAAGAATGTCACAGTGTACATTCATGCAGTAGTGGATGATACAGTACAGGCTCAGATAATGTTGAGCAATAATCAGCTCTAAATGACAATATTTGCATTTCATTGATGCCTAGTTTACACTTCATTGGCTCTTAAAAAAAAGAATAACACTAAATGTTTTTTTTTATTTTATTTTTATTTGTTGTATATATACATATGTAATAATTTTTTTCTTATTTTAGATATAAAAGAAAAATCTCACATAGTTACTTATTTAAACTCTGTCAAATACATTGATGAACTGCAGAAATTTATGGAAGATGATAATTATAAGTACAGTTTTTATCACAAAGTTTCATACAATTTTTTCACAAAGTTTTATACAATTATAATATAAAACACTTGTGATAGTTGTTGGTAATGGTTGAGTGTAATTTTAATAACGTTTGTTTTAGGTTGTCTTTACAAATTGAACCAATACCAAGATCATTTCAAGAAAATTTTATCAGTCCTAATAGTTTAAGACTTTCAGGTTTTACATTATACTTGTGTTATATATATATATATATATATATATATATATATATAATATATAATATATAATATATAATATATATATATAATATATATATATATAATATATAATATATGTATATATATATAATTTATATATTTATATATATATATATATTATATATATAATATATGTATATATATTATATATTATATATATAATATATATATATAATATATGTATATATATAATATATATATATATATATAGTATAAGCCATTATCAAACTAAAAAAACCGTTTTACAAAATTCATGAAAATTTAAACAAAAATGATGTCATTGAAATGTAGCAGATTTAGACTTGTTAAGTTTAACAAAAAATGGTCTCCAATGGTGTGTCATCACTAAGTTAGCATTGTCGCGATTTAAGACATTCTCTTGCAATTTAGAGCATTGTAAATGCTGTATTTCAATTGCTTTGCAAATCTATTGCAACATAAAATGTTAAGTAAAGAATTACCTTAGCGAAAAATGGTTTTTATACCAACTTTACAAAACTCTCTTTTAAGTATAATGCTTAGTTTTGGTATCCATGGCAGTATGACAATTTTTTAATATCTACTGCCGTGGATATCGAAACTAAGCATTATACTTGAAAGAGAGTTTTGTAGAGTAGGTATAAAAACTGTCTGGTAATTCTTTACTTAACATTTTATGTCATATTAAATCAATATTGCATCCAAATAGTTATCCTGGTGTCTATCAGTTAGATTGTTGATTTGGTGTAAGTAAAACAAGAAAGAAAATTTCCACATGCGTTAATGAACACGAGAAAAACAAAACTTAGGGTAACTGGGACGCATCAGGAATAGCCGAACAAACCTAACATTGTAGTGGTTCAATTAACTGGACTAAACCAAAAATAATTTCTGTTACTTCTATTAACTATATGCATAAGATTTGCAAAGTGATTAAAATACAGTGTATACAATGCTCTAAATTGCAAGAGAATGTCTTAAATGATGAAAAACTTAGTGATGAATGCCATTAGAGACCACTTTTTGTTAAACTTAACAAGTCTAAGTCTGCTAGATTGCAAAGACATCATTTTTGTTTTAATTTTTATGAATTTTGTATAATGGATTTTTCAGTTTGATAATGGCTTATACTATATAAGCCAAAATATCACTATTAAATAATAAAAATAATATATAACCAAACATGATGTTTTTTATCATTTAAATATATATATTTATATAACTTTTTGTGGATATTTCCAGAATTAAAGAAAATTTCTTATTCAGATATTAAAAGTTTTTTTTTTTTTGGAAATCCAAAGTTTTGAGATGGTCCATAAATTATGCAACACTAAATTTCACCAATAAAACAAAAGAGATCAAAAGTTTTCCCTCGCAGTGCTCTAAGTTTAATGAAAAATCAAAATAGTTCATTAAGTTTAATTGAAATTAATTAGGATCTTCTACTTTTGTTTTTTAAATAAATTTAGCATTGTGTAATTTATAAATGATCATTTTATGGAAATACAAATTAAATTTTTTTTTGTTTGTAACTTGTCAATAAATAATTAAAACAGTTAATCGTTCATCAATTGCCAAACAATATATTTAGTTAGTTTAGGCATTATTTGTACGCACAACTAATTTTTTCTTATACGTGTGTTTTTATTATTTAGACTATTTTTTCTATCAAGTGTAATTTAATTTTATAATTTTTTTTTATAAATTAAATTAATTTAAAAACCTTATTTTAATAAATATTGAAATAGTTTTCAACATTTTCTTTATTTTGAAAAATGCCTTTATAAACCTAAACCCTCAGTCAATGTTTATACACTCCACTGCACTTTTCCCTATTTATATCAGGTTATGTATTTACACTCAATTTATGTACGCATTAATGCACTTATTCTATGAAACTTTTGAAAATAAAAATAAATGAACATAACTATAAATAAACAACAATAGCTAAAAAACATAGTTGAAAAAATATAGTCAAAAAACTACTTTAAAATAATACTTTTTCTAAAATAATCAAAATTAAAAAACAAAAAATCTTTTTACGGAGGATTTAAACCTGCAACCTTGTCAGCTATGTTTCATAATATTAGCATTGTAATGTCCACAGCATTACATCACTATATTACTTATGAAAAATTAAAGTATTTGAACATTTTTCATGTGCAAATAATGTTTATATTATGTGCACATTATTTGTATGCACATACAAATAATGAATTTTTTTTCCAAACACATGAGATATTCTTAGTTACACAAAATGCATTTATATTTCCGAATATTTTTAGAAAAAAATGTTCTATTCATGTTAAAAATTTTCTAAAACTTTTTTGAGCATGGAACCTTTTGATTTTCAAGTATTCTAATACTAGTTTACTACCACATTGAAATCATATAAATAACTGAAAACACCTGTTGTACATCTTTACTTTTTAGAACATGGTAAACTTGTCACATACATAAAACAATACAATAAAATAGTACAAAATTTTTTGTTTACTCTTCCAGTGTTATTAAATATTTTACTTCAGCAATTAATCTCATTTTTGCTTGTTATGTGTGCAGTTTTTAACATGTATCTTAAGACACATCTAACACTAAATAGTCAAATTATGTTGATTCCAACATTGTTGTATGTAATTATTGTTATCACTGCCTAATAATTTTTGTGAGAGGAAAAATGAAAAAGAAGAAAAATAATGAAAAAAAATAATGAAAAAAACATCTCTCTTTTTAATAATACATTTCTTTATACATTGATGACTGAAATTGAACTTCTCAGTCATATGTTTGTAAGATGTGTAACATTTGTGTAACATATGTTTGTAAGATGTGTAACATTTGTGTAACATATGTTTGTAAGATGTGTAACATTTGTGTAACATATGTTTGTAAGATGTGTGACATTTGTGTAACATATGTTTGGAAGATGTGTAACATTTGTTTAACATATGTTTGTAAGATGTGTAACATTTGTTTAACATATGTTTGTAAGATGTGTAACATGTGTTTGTAAGATGTGTAGCATTTGTGTAACATGTTTGTAAGATGTGTAACATTTGTAACATTTATTATAGATATTACTGAAATACATTTAAGCTTTAAAAATTGTAAAGGGTAATTATATTATTCAATAAAATATTGACATTTACATAAATACATAATTATTTTTGATTAATAAAAAATGTAAAACACAAAATTTTGTTTATGATAGAATCAGATGAGCATGAATGTCTGTATCCGAAGAAGTCGATTGAGCGTTCAGCCAGTGCATGTGTTGGTGACCAACGATCCAGCCTTAATCCCAAATCGTCTAGTTTAAATCTTCCTTTTCGGTCTCCGTCGCCTAATAAAAAATTTATTCCTGGCCATAGAAAAGCTAAGAGCTTAGGAAATAGGTTAGTAATATTTTTCATGTGTAAAAAATGTTTGTAATTCACTTTTATTGGGATTATTATAAAAAAATGTCTGGCAGGAATCAGGAAATTTGACCCTCTCTTTTCTTATGGTGTATCAGAAAAATTAACCCTCTATTTTTATATGGTGTATCAAGAATCTTCTTGTAGTATAAAAGTTGTACTTGATGGATAACATTCGTTTGATTACCAGTAATAACAGGAGTCTCAATCGCCTTGTAGTTTCTCATCTAAATTAACTAAATTCCTGAAAATCTTACCACTTATGTGGCTCATATGCTGATGATTTAACTTTATATTTTAATTTTGGTATTTGATTGAACAACAGGTTGTCTTCAATATTATCAGCATTTGATTTGATCAACAGTTAATTTGATTGAACAACAGGTTGTCAAATATGGTGGATAATTTTTAACTGAAATAAAAATCAATAAAGTTATTTTTGACCAAGCATTATCACAAAGTTTGGAATTTATTTTCCTTATCATTAGAATGCATCTCTTATTCTTATTTTTTCACAAATACTATCATGGTTTCTCTTCAAAAAAGCTTTTGTTCTCTTAATAAACTTCATTCTTGTGACTTTTTTATTTAGTTTAGTCCTTTCAAAGTTTTTCTTTTGTGTTCAAAAAACTTTTACTTTATCTCTCTTTTTTTTTCCACATATTAACTCCATTTATATATTACTCCACCAGTGCTTTGGTATTCTCATATTATCCTGGTTCATATATTTGCAACTTTTTAAGTTTTGTTTTCTTGTTCTTTGTGACTTTGTTAGTTGTTAATTTGTTCTGTGACTTCTTAGGAGCCAATTAGTTCTGTGAATGTGACTTTATTTTGTTTATTAGTATTAAATAATTTTTTTTTTTTTTAATTATCTATTTATGAAATTTATTTTCAGCCAACAAATACTACCAGATAGTATAGTGGAAACACCAATGTGAGTTATTTAGAATAAATATTTTCATTTAGAATGCTTTTTTTATTTCCAGTGATGCATTAATAATACAGTATTATTTTTTAAATTTTTTAATTGTTAAGTATTCTAATATGTTTTTTTTATTCTGAAACTTTTTTAATAGTCCTGATTTACCAAATGGTTCACGCTACAATTTAGTTGATGATAGTCTAGTTGAGCATAAAAAGTCAGATGTTAACGGTACATTAGTATTTTTAATTTTTATTTATTTTGTTTTTTTATAATTATTTTTCTTTAAATTTGAACTGCATATATATATATATATATATATATATATATATATATATATATATATATATATATATATATATATATATATATATATATTTCCACTATAAAAATTTTGCTAAGTGATTTTCTACTAATTTATATATATATATATATATATATATATATATATATATATATATATATATATATATATATATATATATAAATTAGTAGAAAATCACTTAGCAAAATTTTTTCTCATTTAACACTGTGTTTCATCAATAAAGACTCATCAGAAATTTCTGATGAGTCTTTATTGATGAAACACAGTGTTAAATGAAAAAAAATTTTGCTAAGTGATTTTCTACTAATTTGTAATTGCTCTGTTTTTTTAAGAACATTAAGCACTCTTTTTGTAGAATACATTTTAAATTGTTTATATATATATATATATATATATATATATATATATATATATATATATATATATATATATATATATATATATATATATATATATATATATATATATATATTTATATATATATATATATAACTGAGGTTTTGGGAAGGTGCAGCAATCTTTTTTTTTATTCTTCATTTTTCTTCTTTTTCTAAAAAACCTGTATGCTATAAAAATAAGCAAAAGTAGTTAGCAATCACTGATCTAAATATGCAATGGTAGATGATAGATGGTATAAGGTATAATAGTAGATGGTATATGGTAAAGCAACTAGACAAAAAGTCAAAATCTTTGAATTTTGTTGAAGAGAGATAATCAGTTTTTTAGAATTTTAATAAAAAACATTTAACAAGCTTCAAATGTAATTTATTTTCTTTTATCATAAAATTTTATGAATTGTACCAAAAGAGAAATAGTTAAATTCCACTGTACAACAACAATATGAGATAAAATTTTAAATTATATTCGTTTATTGATATTTCATAATTAAAAGGTTTCTTTAATGACAAATGTTTGCTGGTAAGTTTGACAATGCTTTGCAAAATCTTGAATTACTAATTTTTTCTATAATATCCTTTTTAGGAGTTGCAGAGTTGCGACAATTTTATCGGAGTCAGAGTTGCTAAACAAAATCGTAACTCTGACTCCAATATTAAAACTTCTTGGTATTGCACGTGCATGTACAAAACATTCAATTAACCTTATGTTCATACTAAACCTCAAAGAACATTTTACATATTTGTCAAAAAAAATTTTTTAACTTATCGCATAATTTTTTTTAAAGAATTCAAAGAATTTTTCAACAATTTTGCTTTGGAGTTTGAGTCGGAGTTAGAATCAGAGTCGGAGTTGTACTCAAAAAATCTCAACAACTGGAGTCAGAGTCTGAGTTGTTACTTATTTTTTACTACTTCACACCCCTGGGAGTGACAGTGACTGGCAAGAAGAGTTTTGGTTGCTTGAACTTGGATTATTTTCATGTTGTTTTATGTTATGAACTAATTTTGTTCTAAAATAAACCAACTTTAATAAAGTTATTTCATAACATAAAGTAATAGTTCATAACATAAAACAACATCTTCTTAAGAGTTTAAATGTTTTGTCAAAGCATACATCTTAAAAAGTACAGTTTTTTTCTTTTTTTGAAGTATTATAAACATCTATATAATATTTAAAATAAATATCTATGTTCTCTGTTACTCAGTGTGAAGAATTCATAGAGTTTCTTTTCTTTTTGCTTCAAATTTATGTTCAAAATATGGTTTAACCAGTCCTGTTGTTATGTTTAAAGTTAAGTATTGAAAAACTATTGGAATAATTTGCACAAGTAATAAATTTACAATATCAATTAACTTTCTTTTTTTACTTAACATTATTACAAGTTAAACATTAAGATTAAACATTATGCATAATAACCTGGTTTATCTGATTTTTTAAATTTAAGAAGTAATAACAAACAGGAAAAAGAGGAATTTCTTTTAAATCTTTTCTTGTAAACTTAGAGCAATTTACAAATACTTACAAGAATCAATATTAAATAAAAATAATATCTATGATTAAATTTATTTCAACTTTTATGAAATAGATTAAATTGAATAATTATCTTTGACTGTAAGATTTAAGATTTAATAATATAAATAGAATTTTGATATTTTATCTAAGTTTGTTTTGTTGTTGCAAAATGATTTGCATTTAAGTTTGTTTTGTTATGTGAAACTATATAGATTCAATTTTAAATTTAAATTTTATTTTAATTTTTAATTTTATTATCTAGAGTAAAATGGGGTCAAATGGAATAGTTAAGGATTTTAATTATAAATTTTTTAAGGAAAAAAGATTTTTTTTTTAAAGTTGTAGAGAGTATTGAGCTGTATTTAAATATGTAAAATTTTAACAATTTTTTTGTAAAGTTTTTTATGAAACTTTGTTTGATTAAAAAAAAATTTATTCCATTCTACACTGACAATGAAATATGCAAATATAAGTGTAATTAAAACAACACTTTATTAAAAAAACAAATAAGCAATCAATAATAACAATTAAAAAAACAATCAATAATAACAATTAAAAAAATCAATCAAATAAGATAAACTTTTTTATTCTTGTGATGATGTTGAGCCATTTAGAGGTACTAGAGGTTGAGTTGAGTTTTCAATTGTGCGGCACTTTTTGTAGCAATAAGACTCAGCGTTTTTTATGTATCGTTTTGGTATGCATGTTTGACATAGCCAAATCTTGGTACCATTCCATAATTTGACTTGCTGAAGTTTCGTTTTTAACTCATAACTTTTTTTCCTTAATAGCAAATTTAATTTTAAAAAAAGATGATCAGCGTAAAAAGTTTTTTTAAAAAAATTTTAAAAAAACTTTTTACGCTGATCTTGATCAGCGTAAAAAGTTGTATCAGTAAACATTTTAAGTTCAATGATACCGAATTTTATTTCTGAGAGTTTTAAATTCCCTTTTCAAACAAATAAAAAAAAATCTTATTACGTATTTGAAAACTTAAAAATTTATAACAAAATTTTTTTAATTAAAAATAAAATTTTATACAATCTTACTCAGAAAAATATTCTCTACAATATGATCAAAAAATATTTACAAAAAAATTATTCAATAGTTTATTAAAAGCGAAAGAATAAACATTGTCATAACTATTTCGTTCTACCCACTATTTCATTTTACCTGTTTTACTCTATATGTTAATGTTTTTATTTTATTAGAAATGTAAATATTTTGATTCAAATAGTTTTATAAACAATGTTTAGGCTCTGTTAATTATGAATCAGATTCTGACGATCATGAGCCTAATCTTACTTCACAGAGGTTTGTTTGCTTTGTTTTTTTGTTGTTATTTTGTTTTAAATTATTAAAAGTTGTGTAATTTTTTTATTTAGATTTTTCTGGTAAACTGAGAACAAAAATGATTCGCTAATAGTTTTTTACATTTAACTGGTAAACTCTGAACAAAACTGATCATCTAATAGTTTTTACATTTCACTGGTAAACTGAGGACAAAACTGATTAACTAATAGTTTTTACATTTTACTGGTAAACTGAGAACAAAACTGACAACTAATAATTTTTACATTTTACTGGTAAACTGAGAATGAAACTGATTAACTAATAGTTTTTACATTTTACTGGTAAACTGAGAATGAAACTGATTAACTAATAGTGTTTAAATAGTTTGTACAATCTGTAGTTCATGTAATTAAAATTGTTTCTTAGACCTTTTGTAACTATTAAAGTCTTTCAACAATGTGTAACATGTTAAAAGAAAGTTCTTTATTCTAATATATATTTATCATCAACTCTACATTGCAGACCAATAAGTTTCTATTTATTTAAAAAAGAAACCGTTGAAGTTTTTAAATTTAGTTTATTAACAATTTGATTGAAAACTTGTCACACCATTTTGTCAACTTGTTACACCATTTTGTGAAGCTTGTCACACCATTTTGTCACACCATTTTGTGAAAACTATGAACTATTATTGTTAGAAAACATTTTTATTTATGTTTGGTTGCTAAAGAGCATTTTTAGTTTCTATGAGTCCTAAAGCAGTATAGCAACAATTAATGTTTGTAATTAATAAAATAATTTTCGATTTGTTTGTAGCACCAGTTTTAAGAAGTACTTTAGGCTTGGTGACTTATGCAAAATGATCTGTTGTTATGCATTTTAGGTATCCTTAGCGACCAGATAAACAGTCCAAAATAATCAAGCAAATGAAACATCTAAGATGATTAATGATCACTCTGTCCTAATGATAATTCATTAGAAAAAAATACTAATTGCTATTGTTATAATACTGATTTCAAAAGTACATTATATGTATGATGTACAAAGTAAAAATTCTATTTTAACTCAGCAAAATCATTCTCAAAGTCATCTTTTGCCATCATGGCTGCCTTAGAGGAGGATAAGTATATTTGTCGATGTCAATGGACAAAACAAAGCAGAAACTGCTTTATATCCTTTTCTTTGGTGAGGGTTTCATTGTATTTCTGGGTAAGATCTTGGCTTTCTTCTTTTCTGTGATACTAAGCACTTTGAAGAGACGAATGTTCTTTTTGTTTTCTTTTTGTTTGTTCTTTTTGTTTTTTCTTTTTGTTTGTTCTTTTTGTTTTCTTTTTGTTTGAAGAGACGAAAGAGACAGTGTTCATGTTTATCAGTTATTTAGGCTTTGAGATAGATGGTTTGAGCAGATGATGATGATGGAACTCCGAAGTTTTCATCATTGACACTGTCCTCATCTTCAGACTTATAAGAAGAACTGATATCCTAAGCAGTACCAAATGTTTCTATTTGCTGCAGCTTTAATCTTCAATTTTCATTAACTTCTGTACAAGCTCTCTTCCTTGTCTCTTTCTTTGCAAAATTGCAATCTACTCCAGCCATGCTTGAACTGGTGAAATCTTCTCTCTGCATAGTTAGGAATTGTTTGTCTTCATTGTTCATGATGGCGTCCGAACCCTTCTTTGTGCCCAAATCAAAAAGTTTTATCAGGTTTTATATATATATATATATATATATATATATATATATATATATATATATATATATATATATATATATATATATATATATATATATTAGCATACATTGCTTTGTTCAAGCTAACATTGTAGGAAACATGAGCATGCTTTTCATAGTTCCTCTTCAGTTTCAATAGCACCATGCCCAGAAACTTCTGCAATGATGTCTTCATCTGATGATTAATTGGCGAACATCCAAATCTATGTTTTCTAACTTGTTGGTTGTAAGGTTAAAATCTGCATCAAGTTTTGCTGTTAACAATTCAAAAACATCTAAGCCCACAGAAAAGATTGTTATTAACAATATGCTTTTTAATGTCTTCTTATGATATTCCTGATTTCTTGAAACAATTTATAAAGATTTGATCTGGAAAGAAATTCCATGCTTTTGTTAGCATAAACAAAAAGTATTTTGTTCTTTTTTTCCAAAGCAGCAATCTGCTTTCTTGCTGCAAGTGAGTGGTATTTGACTTTAAGAGATCCAATAATTCCCTAATTCATAGGTTTGGTAATTGAGTTGTATTCGATGGAAGAAAGATAAGCTCCACTCAATCAAGTTTCCGCATGTTAGGATGAACAGAGCAGTTATCTATATATAAAGCAATTTTTCTTTTCTAAAAACTAAACTACAGGTCAATATCTTTAACCCACTCCTCAAGTACTTTTGCTGAGATACAACTTTTTGATTGTTCTTGATAGCGACAAGGAATATTTTTCACTTTAAAATATCTAGAAGACTTCAATTCTCCCAGTCAAATAAACTTTAATATGCTTGTCTTGCACTTTTTATTTTTTAAATATAAATTTTTGTAGAGCAAACATTGGTAGAAAAGGCTGAATTCATTGACAGTAAAAATATTTTTAACTAAGTATTGAGAGAGAGAGAACGATCATTTGTTCATTACACAACTTTGCCTCTCCAGAAATAGTTTTAAAATATGTATCACACCTACATTAAAAAAAAAATTATAATTGCTTTGACGTGTAACTTTAACATGTTTGCAAAATTCCAAAATGTCCAATTATGGAAAATATAATTGATTTTGGCATAGTAATGGAATTTCAATTGTTAAATACCATGTAACAAGTTATAATAAAATTTTTTATTTATCTAATTTTTAATATTTTAATTTTCATAATATGTATTGTGTTTTGAATAAATATTTAAAAGTGTTTTAATATATTATTCATGGACTTGTATTATAAACATATTTTGTAGTCCAGATCCTGTAGAAGTTGAAGAGTTACCACAATCAACAAAAATATATTTCAAATTAGAAGGTACTAGTTTTTTTTCTGTATGTTTGGTTGTTTTATTTTAAGAGCATTTATATTATTATTATTATTATTATTATTATTATTATTTTTATTTTTTTTTATATAGGCTAACCTGCTATAGACAATATTAAAAGTTTTCCAAAGATATAGATTTTAATGTCTTGAAATTGTTTTTAAGAAATCCTGCTTTAATATTTATATATATTTCTGTTAGTCACCAAAATATTTTAGCATTATCACTAGTGTCTATCATATACCTAAAGAAGAAGCACAAGATGATATAAGTTTGCATTTCATTCCTTTTTTTAACAAGGTTTTTTTTTCAGCATTAAATGTTTGACTCCTTTTTATATTAGTATATCAAAAGTTTTTAGGCAGGACATAGTAATAAAAAAATAGTTAGCAAATGTTTAAATGTCTAAAATCAAATAATATCACTGTAATTATGCATGTTGTATATGCCACATACTTCAAACAATAAATGATTCTCATTGATTTGATATTTCTGAATTGTACAATAACTATAAAAGGTAAAACATTAAATAAATTGAAAAACATTAAAAACTATTGAAATTATATGAAGTATAGCTTCTTTTAATGTTTTAAAGTAAATATTATTTTAAAATGTGATGCAAAATATTTTTTTTAGGTGTTCTGAAAAGAAAATCTTGTTTAAAGAATGGAACAAAACCTAAGGTATTCAATTATTTTTTGTCATAGGTCCATTTGGTTCTAATAAATTTTGTGGGTTTTGATATTTGAAATGGCACCTAAATCCAGGAACTTTTAGAAAAAGAAAAACAAATAAAAGTATAAAAATTCATTCTCTTTAAAAATAAATTAAAAAAAAACCAGACCAAAAAAAAAATAATAATAATAATCATCTTTTTTTTTTTAAAGCCTTGTTTATAATTTATATTAAAAAAAAAAATGCTTTTTTATTCAAAGATTCATCCTTGAATGTTAAAATTTAACTTGTAAGAGAAGGAGGTCGGAGAAGAATAATGAGTATGACAATGTTTAATGGGTTGCCACTCCAGCCTTCAAAGCGGTGTGGGGAAAGTAGTTCACTCCTAAACACCCATACTAAATCCAACACTATCAACCTGTATTATAAATATTTTTTTTGCTTGCATATGCTTATAGATTTCTTTTTCAACCTTTGCAATAATTGACTCAATTACTTTAAAGTCCTTGTAAAAAATCTTTTGCTTTATTAAACATGATTTGATCCAAATGACTGCATGCAAGACTTTGTTTGATATTTTTTAGTGTGATTTTTATGCAGATGATTCGTGAGAAGATTTAATAAAATGGAAACGGAACATATAAACAGCCAAGGCATCTATGTTGCAGAGGTCTAGGTCTCCGGAAATTTCTAAATGGGCTCACAAAACAGCTTATAATTCAGCGGTGTTTTTAGAAACTCATTTTTCTTAAAAGTTTTTAAACTCTCTCTGATGATGCAATGTCAATTAATTTAAGATTAATGACGATTTCTGTAATTTCTTCACTTTTTGCATCAATAAGATATAACAGTAGATTTGAAAAGACCTTTCTAACTTGGGAAACAACATTTATTACAGGTAGATTTTTTCTCATACAAGATCATTTTGAATATAAGAATTTTCTAATATTTTTGGCATTTAAGGGATAAAAACAACATTTTAATGACATCACAAGTAAAAGTTTTCTAATGTTTTAAGATTTTATTGTACGCATTTTTTTCATTTGTTTTAAACTTCATTGTTCATCCATAAAATGAAAAAATGAAAACCTTTCTTTCCCTCGAATTAACTTTTTTTTATGAAATAGTTTTTTAAAGTTTTTCTAAAATAAACCAAAACAAAAATTCTAACCCAAACGATAAAAAAATAAACCAGATTTGAGAAATCTGGCTTTAAAAAACACCAGCTGGCAACCCTGCACAAAGTTCAATTTTTATTTAAATTATTTTTTGTTTTTTTTTATTTATGATTTATTTATTTTATTTAGATTTATTTGTTATTATGCATTAAATTCTTGAAAAAAATTTTTAAATATTCCACTTTATCACTTTCCTGTCTTGACATCAGCTGCATCAGGAGGCTTATCAATGTTTCACTCATTGCTTTTATTTCATCCTTTGTACAGATACATGTAATGTAATTCTTGGTTTGTTTAATACTTTCATTTCAGACTTAATTGTAGAAACTATTATGAGTATATTGAAAGTCGTCTTTCTTACAATTTTTAAAATTAAAAATTTGTGCTGCTTCTTTACAGAAGCAAATGATACTAGCTAATATTAATGTAGCTAGTACAAATGATACTACATTGCATAAAAATATCCATTGGCTGCATTTTTATCGGTTGTTGCTAACATATCTCATACACGAATCTCATCTCCTTATTCTTTGCAGCAATTAAACTTGAACAATGTTTTTTTTTAAATAACCACTTTTTTTATCTAATGCCCTCTCTGAAGGAATTCTGCCATTCTGAGTGTTTAGGATCATATGCCAAACATTGCCCAAGAAATAGGAAAAAATAAATAAAAAAAACAGTGCAGAAGATTTGGTACGGGTTAATTGCTGTTAGATATTTGAAATAGTTAACTTTTCTTCTTGAATATACATTTAATATGCTTCTCGGATGCATAACTGTTGACACATACCTAGTGAAATTGCAAATTCTTTAAACTTCCATCTTGTAAACCATCTTGTATCATAACACTCTCGGCTGCTTTCAGCATTTTTATTCATTTGATCTATATCACCAGTCAATTCATTGACTCAGTGACTGGTGATCAAATAAATAAAATAGTAACTAAATGTCTTAATTTAAAATTTTATTTGTGCAAAAATAAATCAAAAAATGTTTCTTATTGATAAGTTGGATTCAGGGTGATTCAAACACTTGGTGTTGGATTCAGGGTGTTTCAAACACTGGGTGGGGACTTTGAAGTTTTTAAAAAATGATATATATTGACCCGAATATTAATTGCAGAAAAGAAACATGTAAAAAGTAAGTAATGTGTTTACAGGATTTCCATAAATTGTTGAAAAAACTTGTGAAGCTGAAAAATTTTTATATTAGCATCAATCAAATGAATTATCACTCTAGAATTAATGCAAAAGTAAATCACAAATATAATAACAAATATACTAAATATATTATAGATGAATTTGATTTAAGTAGTCATTTTAAATACTTGCATTTTTACTGTTGTTTTAAAATTGTGTTAGGTTTCAAGTTGGCAGCGATACTGGGTAGGAATCACATGCACATGTCTATTTTACTACTTACCAAAATATCGTGGTTTCGGTGGACGCGAAAGAAGCAATGTAGGTTTTTTTATGTCAATTTATTTGAATGTTCTATTTTCAAGTTGTTTTTATTTCTAAATACACCACCAATTAGTACATGAATATTTTATTTTGACGTGAAACAGTCCTTCTTATTTTTTCTATTTTTTTTTTGGTGTCCAACAAAACTCATTTAATAAACAGTGGAAATCAAACTTTAAAAGATTTTTTAGAAAGTCTTGAGGTTTAGATTTCTTTTGTTAAAGTATTCTTTGAGATATTAACGAGGGTTCTACAGGAATTATCTTTTTCCGGATATTTCCGGAATTCCGGATATTTTTTTCAATTTTTAGTTTTTCCGGATATCCAAAATATTTTCAATACATGCAAGATAAGGTATATATTTTTGTAATATATTTATTTTTTAAGCTTTTTCACTCATCACTTAAAAAAAATTATGAAAAGTAACAAAAAAAAAAATTAACAATTTCACTAAAAGCGAAATTAAAAAGAAAATAACGAAAAACAAATTCCGGATTTTTTCCGGATGTTTTTTCCAAACCATTTTCCGGATTTTTAAAATATGACTAGGATAATCTATGCTTCTAGCAACATCTATAGCAACATATTTTTTATTTTACTTTATCAACACAGTTATTTTAGATAAAATTAAAGTTTACTATATTTAACTTATTTTTTTAATTAACTTTTGTGTTCATAAAAATAATGTAATTATTCTATTTTTTAAAAATATCTTATAAAGGGATTCCCAAGTGTCGAGACAACTTAAGCCTATTTTGTAAATAAATATTAGAAAATAAGTTTAGAGTTTATTGAAATTACCAAAACAAATTAGTTGTTAAGATATCAACAAAAAACATTTGTTATTTTGGTATTATATTTCCTGTTTGAAGGTTAATATTAACCTCATGAATTGGTATAGTTTTTTCTGTTATAAAAATAACTGGTTCGAACAATAAACACACTTACCACAGAGTTTTTTAAACAATTTAGTTTATACAATCAGATTGAGTTTTCTCTTTTTATAAAAAAAATGTTTATGCTACATTAGGTATTTCAATTCAGCTGTAGACTTTAAAAACTGTAATTAAACAAAGAATATGGCTTTCCAACAATCATGAAATGATGCTTTGTGCATAATGAGTTGTAGGATGAAATGATGCTATGCACATAATGAGTTGTAGGAGTTGTCGCATGAAAGATTGTAATTTGCTTTCGATATGGATTATCTATTTTATTGGTTGTTGATAAAAATGTAATGTAAATCAGTTGTAACCTTTTAAATATAGGGACTTAGAGTTCTTGTTTCTTTTAATAAAATATCATGAGTAAGTTATTTATGCCTTTGAGGCTTTTGCATGATTACTTATGTCCATAAGTAATCATAAAGAATTTAATAAAGAAAAGACCTTTGCTCTAAGCTTTTATAATATAATTATTTATTGACAAAAATAAAACAAATTTTGCTTTTACTGACAAATTTTAGTTCTTTTACTGTAAAATGCATCTGATAATCTTAATTTATTGTATGTAAATCAATCATACTATGTACTAATTAGTTTACCAGTGGCCGACTTTCATTATTTTCTACATAACATCTTAAAATGAAGACAATTTGAAGGCATAACTTTCAGACTGTCCGAATTTTTCAGACTTATGATATAATAATATCCTCTCATTTGCTGTGAAAGCCACATGTTTATTCTATGAATAAATTACATATACACACCTTACTACGATTAAATTACAAATATATAAAATGAAATTTGCAAACAGACAACACTACAAATGAAATATCATTTCAATAAAAAATAATGCATATAAATATGCTATGGTGTTTGTTATTTGGTTAAAAAATACATGTACAAAAATTTGGTATGTAAGAAATTGATGCTGTAACTTCTGACTAACTTTTGTATAATGAGCTGATGAATATATTTTTTGTTATTGATTGGTTGATGGCCCAGGTTGTTGTTATTTGACATCAGTAAGAACTTAAGTTTTGAGTCTCGTGCTTAAAAATAAGCTTTTTCCTAATATCTCAAAATACTTCAACGTTTTTAATACAACTTAAATTTATTTGTTTTCATTTTCAACATATATTTTTTATTTTTAATATGACATATATATATTTTTTATATTCAATATGCTTAATACTGAGTATCATATGTTTATAGTGTTTTTTATTTTATTGTTTATCCATCGAAAACTGGCAAACTTTTTAATTATGTTATTTAAACTTTTTAATTATTATAATATTTAAATTAATTATTGGTATAGTCTCATTTTTATTATTATTGAAACTTTTTTTTAGTTCCGGATGGAGCCGTACAAAGTTGTTTCACTGCAGGGTTATACTGTCTTTCCCATCACTAATGAACTTTATACTTTTGAACTTACAAACGAGAGCGGTAATGATGTTTATCGCTTTCAAACGGATTCATCGTCAAGTTGTAATTTGTGGTGTATATATATACGCGAAGCAGCTGATGGTGTGCAGTTAGAAAAGGTTTTTATATTCCTTTTTTTTTTTTTTTTTTTTACGACCTTGTAATTTTTTTTTTCAGAGGCTGGATCCGGATTTAAATACTCTCAGGTTTCGTTTATATTTAGTTAAATCCTGATACAGAAAAAGTAAAAAAAAAAATCTAAAAATAAAAAAATAGAATCCAAATCTTGAATCAAAAAAATCTAAATATTGAATCCAAGTCTTAGAAAACAAAATAGTATTATATTTTCGTTTAAAGACATCTTAACGTTTTATCGATTAAACTTGACCATAGAAAACGAAAACAATGTGTTTTACGGTTTTACAATTTATGGACAAAAATCTTCACGGATTACCCTTAATAGTAACTTACTATAAAAAATTGATGTAATAAAATAATTAATTTGGGTTGAGTGCTTTGTTGTAGGTGGAATAAAAGTTCAATTGTTAAAAATTATAATAATTGTTTAAGTTTAATAATAGAATTTTCTTGTTCGACAAAAAAAAGTTATAGATCTACTACTGTTTTCTTCTGTAAGCTTTCTTCGGTTTCTCCTTCAGCTTTTATAACTACTGCGCAGTTGGTTGGATGCTGGATTTGTAATGAATGATTCGAGGTTCAATGCCATTCTGAACATAAAAAGCTGTTCTACTGTACTCTGTGATAAGATAAAGTTTTTAATTGCATTTTTTGTAAAAAATGTAATCGTAAATTAAAGGTCCCTGTTTTTACGAGCTCGTACACATTGTTGCAATAAAAAAATTCTAAAAAATGAATTTGAATTTGTTGAAACAAACTTTTAAAACATGCGGATCTATTCTATTTTTTTTTTCTTTTTTAAACACTTATTGCAATCATTTTTTTTTTTTGTAATTTATTTATAATTTTGTTTATTAAACGTTTATCTTTTTCAGCCTCAAAACTTAATCATATTTGATGATTCAGACCATGGAGAGGACACGCCTCTATAATACTTACCTATTTTATGGTAAGAAAAACTGATTTTTAAAAAAAAAGAGGTTCTAAAAGTTGTACCAGTCATAATATATATTTAGTTGTAGTTTTGTTACATTATTCGAATATTTAAAGAAGTATTTCGGTGATATACCGTAATATGTCGGTTGTATGCCGTGAAATTTTTATGTAGATAATATGTATTATTTTTCTCAGCTAGTCTGATAACTTTGCAAAAGTTTCTCTATAACTGAATTTTTTATTGCTGCCATTATAAATATGCTTAGTAATGGCAAGAGATGCTTTTGTAGATTCGTGTAAATAAAGTTCCTTCTTAAATATGAAAAGAAATAAATTATATTTGTTTATAAAATTTGTTTTTTATTTGAAAATCTTTTTTCAGCAAATTGCTAAAGTTCGCAATTTTTTAACCGCTATCTTATATTATCTAATCAAACTGTGTGTGTGTGCGAACTAAATTTTATTTTCTTATTAACTGATATATGTACAATTAGTCTCGTCTTGTTTTCTTTTTTGATATGGTTTTAAGTGTTTTAGTTCGGTCCTAACCTTTTTTTAGTTGTTATAATATGTTTAGGTATAAATTTCGGTAAAGATTTAGTGACCCTGTTACTGAGAACTGCTGCAAAATACATGAATATATATTAAGTATAGTACTGATAAAATATATGTAAGAGTTCACAAAAATTTCAGCATTTTTTTTTTACAGAATATTTCGTCACTAAAGTAACTTTCGTTTTCTAAGATATTTTAAAGCTAGTATTTTCGGCCTTTTCCTAGTGATGTTGATGTTTTTTCAGCAGTCACTTTCACGATGTTTCGCAACTCATTTTTCAAGTAGTTCATAAATGTGTGGCGTGGGTAGAGTTTTGACAAATGCGACGTAAAAACAAATTGTTTAAATTTTGTAAATAATTAAATGCTAATGTCATAAGTTTATTTTAAAAACAATAGATTTTGAATTTGATTTTTAAAATATTCTTTTATTTAGTCAAATAAATATAAAATTGTTTATTTTTTAACTAGTAAAATTATGGCTTGAATCCGACCACCCAATATTTAATGCAAAAAATCTGTATAGTGTACATATTTATTACAAAAAAAACGCTTTAATATAATTAAACATTTGATTAAAAAAATGGCAAACATAAACATAAGATAAAAAAAGTAAAAAATATGTATTGGTACTCTGTACGAGCTCCTCGAACTTTTAGGACAGCCTCTATTTTTCACAGCATTGAAACAATATTTGAATAAGACACATATTTTTAAAGCTTTTATCAGAACTACTAGTGAGGTTGATTTTTGTTTAGAACTTGCTTTCAATTTTATCAAACAGTTTTCAATGGTGTTTAAATCGGATGAATAGCCCAGTCATGGAGCAAGAACATTTATTCCATTTCCTTCGAACCATTTTTTAATAAATTTTGCCTAATGTTGTTCGATCGTGAATAAAAATCAAAAAGTCAGCCGTTGAAATTGATTGCACTAAGCGTCGCATTCCTACTAAAAAAAAAAAGAGAACCATTAAACATTTTGAAATAATTTGAACATATCTTAAATTTATTTTTGTGCATAATAAAAAAAGAATTCAAATATTTAGAAAACTGTAGGGGAAGTGGGGGCATAACCGCATATAGAGGCACAACCGTTTTTTAACATTTCCCTTTGAACAATGTTATCTAACACGACAAAAAACATACCACGCGTTGGTAAAACAGTTTCCTTCATTTCGCTTATGTCAAAAAGAGTGTTGCGTTTCTGAGAAGTTGCGCATTTTTGATAAAAAATATTATACTTACACCATATTTTTCCAGCTTTCTTTTAAGGATTAAACAATATTTGATTTTATTGTTAAAGATATATGTTATCAGCGTTATTTCATCTAGTGAAAACCATTATTGATATCAACATAACCTAATAAGCAAGCTATGAAACTGTATTCTTTCTAAAAACTGTCCTCTTGGGCACCGCATAGACGCACAGGAGGCACAACCGCATACTTTTGATATTTATCAAAGCTAAGTAATTACGAAAGACAATAATTACAATCGTCACACTTGAATGCGTGCATGTAAAAACTTGAATAGAAATAGTTTTGTTTGAGATATTGAAAATTAGATAAAAAAATATATATATATATTTTTTTAGTTTACATTTGTTGTTGTAGTAAATAAATAACTTTTACAAACACAAACAAGGTTTCTGAAATAAGATCGTACTGATCTTATTTCTCAGAACCTTTTACAAGTATATAAACTACATCAAAATATAATCAACAAAATAAAACGTAATAAACAATAAAAGTTCTAAAAATAAATATATATAAAATTACGATTAAAAAAATCTGACTACATCATACATTAAGACAATTAAACTTTTCAGTTTATATTTGAAAATAGGAAAAGTAAAATGCATGTCGAAATCGAACAAAACAAATTTATTCCAAAGCTAAAGTGCACGATGTGCAATACAAAACTGATTAAACTTAATTCGACAAAAGGGCTCATATTTAAAATTATTGTTTCTAAGTGTATATTTATTTAGTGGTTTCAACCAAAAGAGATCTTTGAAAACGGGTAAAGATATGCCATTTTTCCACATATACATAAAGCACAAAACATTAAAAACATTAAGCTCATAAGTATTGAGAACTTTCATTTCGATAAAAAGTGGCTTGGAATGAGTGTATCGATCCGCAAAATTTATTAAACGGATTACATGTTTCAGACGGCGATAAAGGCATTTTAACTTACTTTTTTCAGTGCTTTCCCATGCAACATTAGCATAATTTAAATAACTATGAATTAATGAGTAATAAAGTTGAGTTAGGCTTTTTTTGCATAAATATGTTTCTGGTTTATAGAATTCTAACAATTTTAGAAATTTTTGTACCAATATAGTCGATATGCGTTTTCCATGTTATGTTTTCATCAAGAAAAATACCTAAAACTTTTGTTACGTTATGTCTTTTTATTTCAACATCATCAATAAAAATTTTAGGCAAACTTCGGGATAAATAAGCTTTTTTAGAGACTGGGTGGAAAAGGGCCCAATTTGTTTTTTTAATATTAAGAGATAGTTTGTTGCATTTAAACCATTTGGATATATTTTTAAGTTCATTTGCAATGAACTTAAAAATATATTCAAAAATAATATATCCTTTTCCACCCAGTCTCTAAAAAAGCTTATTTATCCCGAAGTTTGCCTAAAATTTTTATTGATGATGTTGAAATAAAAAGACATAACGTAACAAAAGTTTTAGGTATTTTTCTTGATGAAAACATAACATGGAAAACACATATCGACTATATTGGTACAAAAATTTCTAAAATTGTCATCTTTAATCTTTATTTCTGAGACATGGTTTACTGAAACATCTGCCACTCAATTAAATAACTATTCACTAGTGAAAAAAAAATAGAATAGGTCACGGTGGAGGGGTTGCTATCTACATTAAGAGTGATCTAGTTGCGCATGAGGTATCTGATTGTCATCTAAGAGAGACTTTAAACAACAGCAACTCCAAGCAAATATGGTGCGAAATTAAAATCGTTAACGAAATGATTCTTATTGGCTGTGTCTATAGACCACCTTTATCCCATATAGATGATATAAATAAAACAATTATTTCAGCTAAGCATACTGTTGATAGAAAAGCGTATAGTTGTATGTTATTAGCAGGTGATTTCAACTTTCCGGATATTAAATGGCATAATGACGAAAGAATTGAATTACTAAGCGGTCAAAATAGTGCTGCAAGTGTTTTTTTTTTTGTAACTTTGGCTAATCATAATCTAGAACAATTAGTTAATTTCTCAACCTTCGAAGCATCTAATGGAAATGCAAAAAATGTTTTGGATTTAATTATTACAGACTCTTCAACTAGAGTAATCAGTTTATCTAGCTCTATGCCGTTAGGTGATTTGTCACAAGGTCATCGCATATTGATTTGGGATTATGTTGTCCTCTCTAAAAATAAGACAACTTTCTCAAACAAAAAATATGATTTTAATAAGGGTGACTATAAAAACTTTGGTAAAAAGATTATGGAAACTAACTGGCAGCAATTATTTGAAAACAAAAACACTAACAAATGCTATGAACTTTTCTGCAATAAATATGATAAACTCAGCAAGCAATTCAACCCGTTAAAAAAAGTCCATTCTACTCGTAATGCAGCGATGATGAATAAGGAAGTATTAACTATTATAAAGAAAAAACAACGACTGGGCAATTACTTATCTATGACAAACTGGGGATCATTGACCCTCATTTGTGAATATAAGAAACTAAGAAACCAAGTTCAGAAAGCAAGTACACATCGTGTTCGAGTATTTGAAGCCCAACTGGCATCAGATAAAAATAATCCAAAAAGATTGTATGCTTATGCTAAAGCGCAACAGAACGCACATGTATCTATTGGGGCTATATCAGGTGCAAAAGGTGAAACGTTAACAGAGGCAATACATATCGCAAACAGACTTAACGAACACTTTAAATCAGTTTTTGTTGATGATAGCATAAATGATCAGTTACCGGTTTTTGAGAGAAGACATAATCAAGAAGACTTAGGCGATGTAATAATAAGTTTTGAAGCAACGCTAGCCTATTTGAACGGTTTGAACCCGAACAAATCTATTGGTACTGATAACATTAGTCCAAAGGTACTTAAAGAATGTGCAGCTCAAATGACTTACCCTCTAACATTAATTTACAATAAAGCACTGTCTGAAGGCTCAACACCTTTAGCCTGGAAGCAGTCACATGTTACACCGTTGTTTAAAAAAGGGAGTCGTCTTGATGCCGCTAATTACAGACCAGTGTCTATCACTTCAGTTCCATGTAAAGTAATGGAAAAGATTATCAAGGAACAGATAACTAAATATCTTGAAAAAACGAGCTGTATCTCAAATAATCAACATGGATTTATGTCCAAAAAGGGATGCACGTCTAACTTATTGGAAAGTATCGACTACATTACAAAAGCGTTAAGCAAAAGAAATTTTGTCGATATTGCATTTTTGGACTTTGCAAAAGCGTTTGATAAAGTTTCTCAACGTAGACTAATACATAAATTGAAAGCATATGGGATCAATGGTAATGTTGGCAAATGGATTGAGTCATTTTTGACTAGCAGAAAACAACGAACAGTTTTAGGTAATCACTCTAGCGACTGGACCGATGTTTTAAGCGGAGTTTCACAAGGGTCTGTACTTGGTCCAACATTATTCATCATCTACATAAATGACTTAACGGATAATTTAAAATCAGTTCATAAAATTTATGCTGATGACACTAAACTGTTGCAAGAAATAAGACCTGAGTTTCACGATGCTGATTGTTTGATTC